TTTCCTCTCATCAATCTCTAAATTAAATCTTTTAAACGAAATAGTGCAGTTAAATTTCCTATCTTTCAATTCACAAAGTTGTTAATTGTATTGATCACGGTGTGATGCTGTTCTTCAAAAAAGGACTGTAAACATCATGGCCTTCACTGGCCTTCTCTCTTACATGAGATTCATGTAGGTGCTGTCTGACACCCCAAGGCACACCCTGCAGATATGACTGAAGCAGGACAAAGTGAGACAGATAAAGTTTTCTTGCCAACCTTGTCAACTTACAGGGATGTTGCACAGTGAACTAAGAGCAAGTTTAGTAAGAGAGATGTGGTTTGTCACTCAATCTGAACACCAGGAGAGACACCAGATCCAAGGTACCTTGGATTTGTCTTCAGTGCTGCAGAATCTGAGGAAGGCAGCATGGGCTTGAGTTGAACTGGCACTTCTGTCTTCACTAAGCAAAATAAAAGCTTGACAAATTGGCTGTAAGGAAAACCATTCCAGGCTGCAGAATTTCTTGAGAATCTTTGAGAGACATTTTGTTCAGAAAACAGGCCTGTTAATGGGGTATTCCTATTGATTCACCTCATGCATCTAACAGAGCTGCCTCAAGCGGGAGGGCCAGACTTTGACTCTATACTTGATGAAGACAGATGAGCTCAGTGAAGACTGACACAAAGCATGATTCAGAGTGGGAAGCTAGCTTACGTGCTCTGAATCATACTTTCAAAAAAGCTGTCATCTTTCTTCCATGATCAAGTTGTAAACTTATTTTTCTTTTAACAATCATGGGGAGCCCCAGTGAGGCAATAGGCAAACTGTCTTCTCTGAAAACCTTTGTCCAATTTATGTTGAAAAAATATCCATATTTTTACTCTGTGATTTTGGCAGACAAACACAGTGTCCCTGAGTTTAAAAAGTGCATGAAAGGAGTTTGAAAGGCAATTTGTCTGATGAAGCATCCCATGCAAAATCTGATATGAAGACAAAACTTTCTCAGACTAATTTAAATAACATATCGTCACAAGTAGAATCAGAAAAGTAAGTTGGTCTACTTAGCTTCCGAGCCTGGTTTGAATGAGAATCTACAACGATGTTTCTTTTAGCATCTCTGCATGACATTTTATGAGAGACCTTTTAACAGTAACACTAATACTGTATCTTCAGAAGTCAAACAGAAAGTAAATGCTTCCAATTTTTATTTCCAGAGTTTGGTACAATCAAAATGAGACTATTTGAGCAGGTAGTATCTGAATTGCAAACTTACGAGAGTTTCAACACAGTAGTCCCTCATTAGAAAGGAAATCAGGCTAAAGCTTGTATTAGTTTATGCAGTAGCTACTGCAGTGCTTGTCTTGCTCCTCCATAGTCTATTGTAGGATCCACAAATCCAATTTTTTCCCCCCCTCTTCTGCTGGAAAGGAGATGTGAGCCTGTGCAGCCAGGCAGACAAAGAACAAGGAAACCTAAAAGAGTTTAAGAGCCAACTAATCTACAGTTAACGCCCTTGGTGACTAAAGTTTTGGTGCTGCTCCACAATACTCCCACACCGGCCACAGCTGACAGAAGGGTTCCAGGAATGTGAATATCTACAGAATACATAAAAACAAGGCTCACCATCAGTCTGCAGCTCTCCACCTATTCCTCTGGGGAAATAATTACTTTTAGGCAAAGCCATTTATTGGGAATACGATAAAACCTACAAAAAGCAGCTTACACTATTTGGATTTTGTCTGTTAACAGCAGCTACTTTATTCCACTCAGCTGTTTCCACTGCTTATGCCTGCTGGAAACAGTCATCTCCCTCTTTATTCCCAAAGACTGATGCTTACATTCATGCAGTTCAGCAACTCGTGGCTTAAAGTCGACAGCAACAATTCAAAAAAATCCCCACAAAGATGTAAGATCAAAGCTTTCTATTCCACACTGAAAATCAGTTTTGTCCATCTTTTTCTACACATAGAGCATCCTTGGCATTCAGCTGCAATGACCTGTAACTGTGAAAAGCACAGTTGTTTGCTTGTTAGTAATGCATGATTAATATCTTCAGTTAGTTAGTTTTTACCAGACTTTTTCTTAGAAACAACAGAACATAAATAATAACAATGAAACAAAGCCCTCAGAGGAGCGTTTGCTGAAGGCCGTGTGTAGCTGTGGGTGTAACGAGCCTCGGCTCAGCTTAAGACCGCAAGGAGTTAATGCTCCTCGGAAACACCTGACAGAAAAATTTCCTCTTTGGGTAAGAAAACCTTCAGAGGGAGAAATTAAAACCTCTCAAAAGGGGAATTTTAATCAAATCAGGAGAGGCAGAGCTAGGCAGTTGTTTCTGTAAGTATAGTGTGAAATAATCCCTTTATGCAGAAACCGCACCTACCATAATCAGTACAGTTCTCATGTGCGATTCTGAAGTTTTACACTAAGTATATTTTTTATAGTTTAAGACCAAATAGCAGCAACGATCAACGTGTCCGTTAAACCCAGAGCTGTGCGTGTCCCTTTTGCTGGCTGGCACCATCCCCGCGCTGCCTGCCGAGGACAGCCCCACGCCTTGGGCTGACAGCCCTCCCGAGGGACAAAGGTGTCAGGGAGCCACAGGCCTCACCCTGGGGAGCTGTCAGCAAATTAGGAGACCGCGGTCATCAGCACTGTGTTTCTCTTGCCCTTTTCTGCTGTATTTCCTCTCAGTGGCCCTAGCCTGGCCTGGCTCCTCACCTGTCTTCGCCTCATCCCACCCATTTTTCCTCACCTCACTATTTCCCGCCAACAGGAGGCCATCAACACCATGTACTGTTGTGGCACCAGCTCCCCTGTACTGTCAGAAAGACATCTTCAAAATATTTTAAGACTTCTGGATGCAAAGACCACAGAAAACTGGGAGGATCTCTGGAGCAAGCCTGCGGCAGCCAGGCAGCACGCAGGACATGTGCGTCCTGTCACAGCACCGTCAGAAGTTACCCACTGCCGGGGGCAGCTGCTCCACCCAGCAGGACAGAGGATGGAGCACAAAGCAGGAGAACACACCTGTCGCTGCTTCGCTTGGCTGGTGTCTTTCCCAAATCCCATCCTTTAAAACAACAACTCTTCAAGCTAGGGAAGAGCTGGAGTGCCAAATCCCCTGAATATCTGAAGGGAGGCGGAAAAACAAAGTCCAGGTAGTGGTGGTGAGAAGACACAGCTTCAGCACTGAGGCAAGGTTTTTCTTAACAATGCTCAGCAAGAGGATGGCAAATGGAATAGACGGTGATTTTGTATCAATTGAGAGAGACAGCACTGTGAAGGGAGGCATAAAGAGCAAAGGAATAAGGAGTTCAGACGCAGGTCTATGGCAAGCAATTGGGAAGAAAACTGGTGCAAGAAATTGGCAAGGAAGAAAGTGAGCCAAAGCCAGAGGGGGACAATAGAAGAAATACTTGTGACTTATGGAAAACATTACCCTCCATACCCTGCATGGTTCCAGAAATTCCCCATGCCTCTGCTGCCACCAAACACCTACCCCAAATAGGTACCACGCTTTCTTCCACTAGCAAGTTTACAGACAGGGTAAGACCTCATGCATTTCCTACAGCATAAATTTCAGTAACAGAAATACATTTTTCAGTTCTTCTGCTGAATTATGATGGCAGAGGCTATGATTTCTGCTTTTACCTCAACTTGCTTTTCAAAAGCTCTTTAGATCAGGAAAAAAGGAAAATATTAATGCAACCCACTC